TAGATGGATGGATAAAGAAATTGTGGTACATACGCACAATGGAATATTATATAGCCATAAAAAGAATGAAATTCTGACATTTATAACAACATGGATGGAACTGGAGAACATTATGTTAAGTGAAATAAGCCAAGCGCAGAAAGATAAATCTCGCATTTTCTCACTCATATGTGGGAGTTAAATATTAAAACAGTTGATCTCGTGGAGACAGAGTCTAGAATGATGGTTACCAGAGACTGGGAAGGGTAGCAGGGAGAGGGGGATAAAGTAGGGTGGTTAATGGGTGCAAAAATATACTTAGAATAAACAATATTTGATAGCACAACAAAGTGACTGTAATTAACAATAAGTTAGGGTATACTTTAAAACAGCTTAGAGAGTGGAATCGGACTGTTCCTAACACAAGAAAATGACACATACCTGAGGGGCTGAATACCCCAGTGACCCTGATTTGATTGATACACATTATATGCCTGTATCAAAACATCACATGCACCCTATAAATACATACAACTGTTATGTACCCATAATAATTAACCATAAAAATATAAGTAAATTAGAGGTGAGAATCTTTCTTACATTCACATTCTCTGGTGGTGGTTTTTTCCCTAGTAGTCTGCTATTGAGTATTGATTTTTGCTTCTGACAGACAAGGGTAATCTGAATAAACAGAAAGACGTTATTCAAGGTGAAATGTCATTATTTTTATTCCTGCAACATCTTTTGTTCTTTACTCTTGGCAGCGGTAAAGCTTCTTCAAGCAGCTGACAGCTTTAAAGACCAGACCTTCTTTCTCAGCCAGGTTTCCCAGGATGCCCTGAGAAGAACCATCTTCCCTCTGGGGGGATTAACGAAAGACTTTGTAAAGAAAATAGCTGCTGAGAATAGACTCCATCACGTGCTTCAGAAGAAGGAGGTACGAGTGCGTAGCTTGCCTCGATGGTGCATGTTTGCGTTCCTGGCTCCAGGGTGCAGGGAGGGCTGGGACCTCTGTGCTCAGACACCCCGTGCCTCCCCAGGACCTAACCTCAGGGGGACTTGGGGAAATAGATAGGAGTGATCCTCAGACGTAGGGCAGAAGGCTCCACCAACCCTCGGGAAGCGGCCTCCTTTCCTCTGCTTGGCCCTCTGCGGCAGGCCGCTTTCCCTGCAGCTGTGGCGGTGGCTTGGTGCTGTGAGGTAGCCTGCCAGGTGAGCACAGGGCAGCATGGCCCAGCACAGAGACCCCCAGGGGCAGGTGCTCTTGTGCTGTCTGCCTGCCCATCTGGCCTGTCATCTTTGGCCCAGCGTAGGCTTGTCCAGTGTCATCTGCGCCAAGCACTGTGCTGCCGGATCTCGAGGAGACAGTGACAAGCACACGGTTCCATCCCTGCCTTCACCGGGCTCACAGTCGAGGGGAGACAGACAGGAAACATCACTGTAAACCCAGAGGGTGTCTGTGGAGGGGGTTAGGAACCTGTGAGAGGAGCATCAGTGGGGTCTGATTGGGATGTGGGGATCGAGAAGCCAAGGCAGGCCTCTGGAGAAATGACATGTAACCCGAGACCTAAAAGGTGAGTGAGTATGGCTCAGTGTCACCTAGAAGGTTGGGAGGAACAGTCCAGATAAAAGTGTGCAAAGGCCCCAAGGCAAGATAATTCCTGGAAGCCGGCGTGGTCATGCTCACTGGTAGTCCCAGCTACTGGGGAGGCTGAGGGGTTTTAGTCTAGCCTGGGCAACGTGAGGCCTGTCTCAAGGAAAACACAGAAAAGAAAAAGCCCGGAGCATTGGCTGAGCCTGGCGGTGAGGGCGGGGCGCTAGGGGAGCTAGCGAGCTTGGCAGACCTCTGGTGCGCTCGGTCGAATCGGGCCATTTCAGGGTTGCCGGGCTTTAACTCTGGCTTCTCCTTCACGTCTGTCTTCCTGGGCATGAGCAGTGCTGTCTCTCTCACGGAGTCGGTGTCCCCAGAGAGCATGCCTACCCACCGTGCTCTGCCTGCCCTCTTCTTTGTTCTTCAGTCTCCCAGTGTCGGTCTGTGGTAGGAGTGAGAGCGCTACAGAGATGGGCAGGTCTTGAGGGACACAAACCGGAGAGTAAACAATGAAGCCACTTGACTGCACGGGGGAGAGGTTCCACTCCAGCCCAGGCTTATGCTGGGGATGACAGGTTCTGGTCCCTGTCTGTCTCCTGCTGCTCACAGTGGCCTGAAGGGCTTGACCAGGTTTAGTTTTCTGGGGCAGCTAATGTGATGTTCTGCCGCACGAGGGTCAGACCCTGCTAGGGTGAGACACAAGACTCTGGTGTGCGCTGTGACTGGCTGGCATCTGAGGGTGCAGGAGGACAGCCAGGCCCTGTGCCCTCCTCGGGGTGTCTGGGTGCAGCACAGCCCCTTCCCCTCCTGGCCAGGCCTGTTCTGGCGCAGGATGCCACGTGCCTTCACTCATCTCCCGGCGGGACTTCCTCTCGTTTCAGAGCATGGGCATCTGTTTTGTTGGTAAAAGAAAGTTTGAGCATTTCATTCTTCAGGTGAGTGTCCTTTGGGGCAGAGGGACGGGGCCCAGTGCTCTGGGCCTGGGTCCCCATTAGTAACGGAATGCTTGTTTTCCAGTATCTGCAGCCTCGCCCTGGTAACTTTATTTCTATAGAAGACAATAAAGTCCTGGGAACACATAAAGGTAAGACGCAGCCTCTGGCCACTTTTCATCTTAAACTCCTTGAGTCGTGGGGTGAGTTTCGGCCCTGGGAAATTTAGACAGATGCCTGTGGCCCCTCCCACCTCAGCCAGAGAATTGCAGAAGGCGCTGTGGGCTGGGGGTGTGTGGCACGGGGTTGCATGGTGGCTTTGACTAGGGCTTTGTGCAGTTCAAGATATGGTCTCCTTAAAAGCACGCCATCCGACTTGGAAGAACTGCTCTGACTTCTGTGTAAGTCCCTGTAAATAGGATGATTTTCTCACTATGAAGACAAAGTTAAACTACAGAAAACCCTACTCTGATGAAAAGAGTTTGGTGGCTTCACCATGTGGCCTGGATGGTTGAGGCGATGGTGGGGGCTGCACGGTGGGGGGCTGCTCGCTCACCCCTGGCCCAGTGTTGGGACAGTGTGGCTGTTGTCAGTGCGGTGGTGAGGATGCCTCCTGGGCATATGATCGGGCGAATCTGGACGCCGCGCAGGCCCGAGCTGCGGGCCAGGCCGGGAGCACAGGGCTGCTGCTCAGACGTGGAAGTCTCGCAGTGGGTTGTGCTTGGAGATCCTCCACCTCCTGCAGTGGGAACAGGGCTTCCCGAGGAAGCACCTGAGGGGAGGGACAGCTGAGCAGGGGCCAGGAGTGCCTGAGCCTGGAGGAGGTGATGACGTTGCTCGGGACAGAACTGCCAGCGTCGTTCCCAGCCCATCTCCAGCAGGAGGCAGTTAGATGACTCAAGGTTTCTGCCTGCAGTTCGGTTGTCTGGCTTCACCGAAGTAGGCACCGCACTGGGGAGTGTGGTAAAGCCAGTGAGGTTACCTCTGCCTGTGCGGAGGAGGGAGGGTGGCAGGGATCCTACCGCCTGGTCTTCAGGGGCTGTGCAGAGTGTGGCCACAGAGAGCTTGGGGTAGCCCCAATGCAGTTAGTACATTAGATGGGCAGGGCTGGCTCTGGTGGGTGGGGAGTCACAGCATCTGAGTGGCCTGACCTGGGCTGCCCTCAGTGGTCACAGAGACCCCCGTCCCCCATCATGGCGGTGTAATGTTCAGCTGGAGCTTGCTCCCGAGCCTCACAGAGAAACTGTCTTTCCACAGGTTGGTTCCTGTATACCTTGGGCCAGAAAGCTAAGATAGGCGGCTTGAGAGAGCCCTGGTACGTGGTGGAGAAGGATGGCACCAAGGGCGACGTGTTTGTGGTGAGTCCGGCCAGTCTTTGAGACAGCTGCTGGTCTGCATGTGGCCAAGCCCGCGGTTCATAGGACCAGGGCTCAGGAGGCCTCAAGCAGCATTGCGCGATGGTGCGTCCTCGCCTTCTGGCTGCATCCTCCTGGGATTGGCCCAAGGTAGCAGAAGGGTTTTGTTTAGGGTATTTATTAGGCTCTACTGTGTGCTGGCCACTCTGCTTTTCCATCTCTTAATCTATACTATAAATAGATACTGCTCTGATTTTACAAAAGAGGACAGTGAGACTCAGACAAAGGAACTTGCAGAAGGTCCTGTGGAGAGGAGGTCATCTAGGACAGTGCCTGCCCGTGTGGGATCCGGTGTCATGGTCCTGTAGATGCCAGTGGCTGCGCCAGGATCAGACCAGGCCGTCCGCCACAGCAGGGCTCTTGGCCACGGTGACCCTGGCATCTACAGCAGGCTTTTGGGAGGGGATGAGCCTGTCTCACCCCCAGGGGACATTGCGCTGTGGTTATCACAGCTGGGGGGATGCTCAGGGGAAACAGGTGTTGCTGGCATCCAGCAGGTAAGGCCAGGGCTGTTGCTGAACAGCCTGCGGTGATCAGGTCGGCCCTGCCCTAGGAGGGTCACTGGCCCCAGATCGCTGTCAGCAGGCTGAGCTGCCATCTCATGCTCTGTGACAGACGGTGGGCGACGTTCTCCCAGATGTAGCAGAGAGGCCAGCAGGCCTCACCTGCCAGTCCTGAGACATCTCCTCCCAAGAAGAGCTAAGGTGTAAAAGCCTGGTCAAGGGTGAATTAAGTGATTTAGCATAAGATTTCCGTGATGGTGACTGTGAGAAAACCTGTGCCCAGGCAGGCCTCGGTGCCCCCGAAGCCCCTGGACTTGATGTGCCTGGGCCCGCTTCAGAGGGGGAGGCTTGGCCTGACCCCAGACGGCGCCACATTTCCATGGTGGGGCAGGGCAGCAGGGGCCCCAGGGAATAGGAAACTGGGTCCTCCGGGGTAGCAGTCACCCCACAGGTGGTCATACGTGGGGGGTCAGAGTGAGAGTTGACCTTTGAGGCGTGTTTGCAGGCTCAGACCTCACCTCTGCTTCTCAACAACTATGACTGGGACAAGTTTCCCTCCGGGGCCTTGGTTTCCTCATCTACAAAATGGGGTAAAAAGTCTAGGGAGATGATTAAGTGACTTTCCCTGGGTGAAACACAGAATGGTGCCGTGCACAGTCGTCAGTGCGTGCTTGCTGGCAGGACGGTGGTTGGTAACGGCCTACACTGAGCTGGGCCTTGGGGAGGGGGACTCTCTGCTGAGGGCTCCAGGGCGTCACGGGGCTTTGCATCCACCCACAGGCCCCCTGGACGGACCACCCGGCCCTGTACAGGGACCTGCTTCGGACCAGCCGTGTGCACTGGATCGCAGAGGAGCCGCCCACCACACTGGTCCGGGACAAGATGATGGAGTGCCACTTCCGATTCCGCCACCAGATGGCACTAGGTGACTGGGCAAGAGGAAACTTGGGGCCAGATTGGGGCCTGGGTGATGAGACCTTGGGCAGGAAAGTCCCCCAGTGGTGAGAGCATGTAAGATACTCAGAACTCCCTCGTCCTCTGCCTGCCACCGGGAGAGGACCATGCAGTGAGAGGCTCCAGGTGTGCTGCCCCTGCGGTGTCCTACCATGTCCCTGGCCAGACTGGTGGCTCGGAGCCCCTGGCTGTTGCCCTGTCCTTCCCCTTCGAGGGGTGTCCTTGTCCCCCATGGGTGGGCGCTCCTTCTTCCCTGGGGCTGACTAGACGAGCCAAGGCTATGTCCCCTCCAAAGGCCCCTCTCTTCCACCCAGTGCCCTGCGTGCTGACCCTCAATCAGGACGGCACCGTGTGGGTGACAGCTGTGAAGGCTGTGCGGGCCCTCGCCTTGGGACAGGTGAGTGGGGGGTGTGGGGGGCAAGCCTCACTCTGTACCGTGCTCCAGAGCTGGGGAGGGGACACTCAGCTGGAAGGCAGGACAGGCCTCAGCCTTGGCTTTGCTGTCTGCTGGAGCAAGAGCCCTGAGCCTAGTCCTCGCCCATGAGATGGGCATTGGCACTTTCTGTCTGCCCTAAGGTGGAACCCATGGCATGGGCTGGCTCTTGGTGTCAGTGTGCTCTGTGAGAGTGGCATTGCACTTCAGCCCCACCAGGCATCTGGTTTGCAGATGTGGGAGCTGAGGCCAAAAGGGGATGTGGGTGCTCAGGTCACACCTCCACTGAGGGCAGAACGAGACCAGCCCTGCAGCTGGGGCTCCTTTTCTCCCAGTAACAAGGACAGGAAAGGGAAGAGGCTTGAGGATTGTGCTCATGGAGGCAGAGGAACGGGAGCCCTGCTGGGCAGAGTGTGCAGGACTCTGAGGATGTGGGGCCCTGGTGGCAAGAGGGTGTGTGTAAGGGAAGCTGAAGCTTCCTTGGGCTCCCACCCCCGACCTGCAGTCACAGCTGCCGGTTTGGAGAGGCCTGGGACCATCCCACTCGGAAGCAGACCTTGACCCTGAACTCTGTCCCTAATGCAGCTGCTGGGAACACCCCTCAGGAGCCCAGGCTGGTCGAGCAGGGCCTGCCTGGAGCTCTCAGCCAGCAGCGGCGGGCCCAGGACCGGTTCCCTGTGGCACCCCTGACGCCAGGGCCTCTCTCCTCTCCAGTTCGCCGTGTTCTACAAAGGGGGCGAGTGCCTGGGCAGTGGGAAGATCCTGCGGTTGGGACCATCTGCCTACACGCTCCAGAAGGGCCAGAGCAAAGCCAACATGGCCACCGAGGGCCCAGGTGATGGCCCAGGCCTGTGTCCCTCACTCTGAAAGAGGCTGAGCTGCTGAGAGGAGTTCCGGGAGAACAGAGCTGAGGGCCGGGCGGGCAGTCTGGTCACCGAGGGCCTTGCTGCTGCTGAACCAGGAGCGGACAGGCTGGGCACGGCTCCACAGAGCCTCCAGAGCTGGGAGAGCCCGTCTCCTCCGAGCTGGAGCTCCGGCTGGCCAGAGCATTTGCCGGCAGGTGGGTCTGTCCCGAGGGCCCTATTTACAGAGCTCCTCTTGCACTGCATTTCCCACCTTCATGCACACCAAAGGGACCTGCAGAGAGGCTGCAGGGACAGGACAGTATTGAATAAAAAGTCTTTTGGGGACACAAGTCTTGACTGCTGCCTCCAGAGGGGCCCAGGAGAGCTGGGCTAAGGTGGGGACTCCATACTGGCCCTCCTGCGGTGTGGAGAGGCAGGTGGACCACGTGGGAGAGCTGTGAGCCTCTCCTTTTGCCATACCGTGGTCCCCATTGCTCTGAGGGCTGGGGCATGGACCCATGTCCTTGGCTTCCTCTCTCTGGGCCTTTGTGGGGATTAGAAGGTTCTAGGCTAGAGGCAGCACATTTAACCTGTACTGAGCACCAGCTGGTCAGTGAGTCAGATGTGGCCCTGCCCCCATGTTGAGTGATGAGGGGAGGGTCCCCTCCCTGCCCCACTGGGGTCCTCCCCCTCAGCTCGGAAGCCGCCGGGACTGAGTAACAGGGCTGCTGGTGGCAGCAGGGCCAGACCCCCAGGTCAGGGCACCCCAGGGTCACAGCCTTTCCCAGGGACAGGTCAGTAAGGGTTCCACAGCTGCCTCTGCCTCCCCTGCCAGTTATGTACCTGCCTTGGGTGTGAGCGCTCGTGTGCAGCGCTGGGCTGCAGGCACGTGGGGACGAGCACATCTGCACACGCGCTCTGGGGCCTCAGCTTGAGAGGACCATGGTGCCCACACCTCGGCCTGGCGGCGGGGCCTGGTCTTCCTTCCCACGAGGGTTTTGAGCAGAGGAGCGGTGGCACCCGGGGTATGGTTTGAGAGACAGTCCCTCTGGCCCCTGAAGCACAGATGGAAGGGGACAGGTGGGGACCAGGTAGACAGCCACAGAGGTTAGGGCAAGGGTGGCAGCTGGGGGGCAAGGGGTTGGATCTGGGGAGGACAAAGATGGAGGAACTGACGACTGGGATGGTCCTCAGCACGGGGCTGAGGGGACCAGGACAGCCGGGCATCGTCAGCAGTCTTGCCCACGTGCCCTTCTCCCACTGGCACAAAGGGGTAGAGGGCGGCCACTGAGCCCAGCAAGTGTCCTGCCTGCTACCAGGGACAGGAGGAGGAAGTGGGGTGGGGGACAGGGGGAGTAGAGGGGAGGCCAGGGGCCCATTTCCTCTGACCAGGACTGGACACCGCACTCGGGGACTTCGGGTCTGGTGTGGGGAGGCTGCTGGGAGACCCAAGCCAGCGGGGAAGAACGTGGCACAGGTGAGGGGCTGGGCCCTCACGGCCCTCTAAGCATGCCAGGCCTGCAGTGGGGCAAGAGGCTGTGGCGTGGGGTGTCGCGTGACTGGAAGCCCCTGCGTGGAACAGTGAGTATGGAACTGGCACTCGGACGCCCAGTCTGCAGTGGAGCCGGGGAGGAGGTGGGGCACGACCTGGGGAGGAGGACTCTAACCTCTGTCCCAGGACGGAATTACTGCATCCCACTGTCCCCTGCCTTCAGCCCCTGAAAGCCACACACGGGGCAAGAGCTTGAGACCAGGCAGAACAGCTAGAAAGCAGTGGCCTCCCTGCCTGCAGAGTGAAACACGACGTTCGCAGATACCAGGAGCAGGGGCTGCCCTGTCCTCCCTCTGGGCAAGAAGGGAGCACCTCGTCCTCAGACTGTCACCCTTGCCCTAAGCTCTGTGGCTACCAGTCTACCACGTCCTCTCCTGTCCCCTTCCATCTGTGCTCAGGGGCCAGAGGGACTGTCTCTAAAACCATACCTCAGGGACCATCGCTCCTCTGCTCGAAACCCTCGTCCAGAAGGAAGACCACACACCCCCGGCTCCAGGCCCTGCTGCCCAGGCCGAGGTGTGGGCTGCCGTAGTCCTCCTTGCTCCCTTGTGGTCAGGCTGAGCTGAGGCCCTGGGGCTTGTGTACGCAGATGTGCTTGTCCCCGTGTGCCTGCAGACCCTGGTTACATCTCCTCCCCGTCCTGGGGGTCGGCCCCAGCCCCTGCCTGCCCTCTCCCATCTCCCCAGCCTCGGCCCTCCCGACCGTCCCTGCACACTCTTCCTTTCAGCCAAGGCCCCACCCGGCAGGGAGCGTCCTGGGAGCACGGCAGCCCTCACCTGTGAGACCAGGAAGAGCCAGGAAAGGCCTGTGCTGCCCAGGCCAGGAGGCAGGCCCAGCTCCACGTGCAGACAAGTGCTGGCCAGTCGGGCCAGACAGGCCCTGGGGAACCCTTGGCCCAACTGGGCATGGTGGCTGGGCTGAAGGGCCACCTTTGTTCCACCAGCTTGAAGCTCAGCACATAGACTCCCTGGGCTTAAGTTTCCCCTGACTTGATGCCATGGCTGGCTCACCCTGTGCCTGGGAACTGAGGTCGGGAGAGCCCCCTTGGTGCCCACTCTGTGCTGCCCTAAGCTAACCCTCCCAAGTGGCAGAAAGGTGAGCAGGGGGGATGAGGGTGGCTAGGCAGAAGTTGGTGTGGATCCCAGGTGGGCCAAGGGTGAGGCTGCCCTGTGTAGCCCCTGCTGGCTCTGCCACGCTGCCAGCCTCAGGGCCTGTGTGTTGGCCAGTGGGGCTGGGGGCACACACCTGCCTCCCAACCAGCAAGGCTCCCTCTCGGCAGTGAGCACAACTGCCAGCCATGTCCCCTTGAGGCCACCAGCCACCTCTGGAGGGTTCTTGGGGCAATGCTGCAGAGATTAGCAGAAGCTGTTGGCCAGGACGTGCCCTTGGGCGAAGTCCATGGGCTGGACTTTCTGGCCTCCCCCTGCCCTCCCCAAGTACCTGGAGCCAGCAGGCTCCACAGGCTGTGCCCCTCAGATGGCCTTCAGAAGACCTGGGCAGGCCAGAGGGTCAGGGCTGGGAAGTAGCCCTCTTCCCTGCATGGGCACCCCAGTGACCAGGACCCAGCCACCTGCCACGGCTATCGATGGAGAGGGGTGGCCAGGCACCGTGGCTCAGGCCTGTAACCCCAGTACTCTGGGAGGCCGAGGCAGGAGGACTGCATGAGGCCAGGAGTTCAGGACCACCCTGAGCAGGAGTGAGACCCCGTCTCTACTAAAATAGAAAAAAAAAACCCAGCTAGGCATGGGGGCACGTGCCCTTAGTCCCAGCTACTCTGGAGGCTGAGGCAGGAGGATCGCTTCAGCCCAGGAGTCTAAAGTTGCAGTGAGCTATAACGACACCACTGCACGGCACTCTAGCCAGGCGACAGAGTGAGACCCTGTCTCAAAAAAAAAAAAAAAAAAAAAAGAGGGAAATGAAAACAGGTAGTCTGGGCCGACAGCTGGATGCTTCTCTACACCTTCCTCCTGCTCACATCAATGAAAGCGTCACCCTCGCTGTTCTCTCCTCCCCACGTTGTTTCCGGAGTGATCCCGGTGAGATGCGGATCCTAGGACGGCGCCCCTCCCTCGTCTGACACCAGAGGTGGCTCCTTCCCCAGGCCCGAGCTGGTTTCAGACACCCTCAGCCGGCGCCGGCTCACGCTGCCTGTGCCCCAGAAGCCTTCCCGCGCCTAGTCGCCTCCTACCTCCCTGGGCGTCTGCACAAACCTGGTCCAGGGCGGAGACTGGAGCGAGGCTAAAGCCGTGATTGGGGAGGGCCACGCCTGGCTGGGCCAGTTTGGATGTTCTGTGGCTTGGACGATGTTCACGCTGTCTGTGCTCAGACGTGATCATGGAGGGGGCTTGCTCTGCTCCTGCCCCTTGTGGTCTGCTCCTGGTCTCCGTGAAATGGCCCACAGCCCTCGGGTGGACGCCCAGACCGGCTGCTGTGCCAGGCTCTCTCCCGGCGCCAGGGCTGCATTGGCTTTCTCAAATGCTGCTAGTTTTTCCTTGTTAGTCCTGGCTTGTGGGTTGAGATGGGTGTAGTCTGTCACGTTCGCTACTGAGCACAGCAAAGTAGACATCAGCAGGTATGCTGAGGAGGAAGCGACACTCGAAAAGTGCCTTTGGCTTTGGGGTGTTCTTGGGTTGCGCTTCTCTTTCCTCTCTCAGACCGGACCCGGGGTGGCCCTGATCTCTGGCCCTGTGCAGCCACCAGGGCAAGGACTCCAAAGGGGCTGGGGGGAAAGGGGCACTATGGGCTGAGGACTGCTGGGGGGTCCCCATTATTTTCTTCTCTCAGCTTTCACTTTTCCCCGGGTGGGGGCATACTGGGCAGAAGTGTGGGACAGGCCAGGCGGCTGTAACTCTGGGAGAAACCTACCTGTCTGACAGAGGAACAAGAAAAGGAGCCACGGGAGTTAGAGTGAGGCAGATGCCAGAAGCGGGGAGCTGGGGAAGCAGAGCCTAGGTCTCCACACACGCTGGCCAAGTCCTCGCGCGGGCCTGGCCGGCGCCCACAGGCGGTGAGGCGGAGCTGGCGGTGGGACCTAACTGGGCTGCTCGCTGTGGAAACAGACAAAGTCACGTTTAGAATGAGGGCTGCGACATGGCCCAGAGGCTCACGACTTTCCAAATGACAACGAGGCTTCAGTTCAAATCACTCAGCATACAGTCAACTGGGAAAACACCAAGAGAAAAGGCGGATTTCAGCCCCAGCATGGCCCAGATGTTCACATTTTCAGGATCTGAACAGGATTTTCCGCAGCCTTAGTTTGAGGTCAAGGGAAATGCTGGAGTGAACAGAAAACCCTAAGTCCCCAGCAGAGAAACAGAAAGTATAAGAAGGAACCAAATGGAAATTTTAAAACTTTAAATTACAACATATGAGATAACAAATTCACTGAACGAGCTCAGTAGCAAAATGGAGATGACAGGGGTGGGGGGGAAATGAGTGAACTTAAGGACGGATCAGCAGAAACGATCAAGTCTGAGGAACAAGAGAGAAAAAGGAATGGAAAAGAGGAAGAGCCGCAGGGACCCGTGTGACGACGTGGAAAGGTCTAACGTGCTCGCGGGAGCTGCAGGAGAAAGGTTGGTGCAGGGAAACGAGTGGAAGAAATAATAGCCATGAATTTCTCTAACTTGACGAGATATTCATTTACATATTCAAGAGTCTCAGGAACCCCCAAACAGGGCCATCCAGCTGTGGCAGGCCTGCAGGGGAGTGGACAGAACATTCCGGCAAGAAACTCCACCAGCCCGTCATCTGCATCCCATGAACGGTCCCGCCCACACTGCC